GTGCGTGCGTGCGTGCGTGCGTGCGTGCGTGCGTGCGTGCGTGCGTGCGTGCGTGCGTGCTTGCGTGCGTGCGTGCGTGCGTGCGTGCGTGCGTGCGTGCGTGTGTGTGTGTGTGTGTCTGTCTGTCTGTCTGTCTGTGTGTGTGTGTTGTGTTGTGTTGTGTTGTGTTGTGTTGTGTGTGTGTTGTGTGTGTTGTGTGTTGTGTGTGTGTGTGTGCGTGTGCGTGTGCGTGTGCGTGTGCGTGTGCGTGTGCGTGTGCGTGTGCGTGTGCGCGTGCGTGCGTGCGTGTGTATGTTCTGTTTCGCACGGTGAACAAACATGCTCCTCGATGGTCCTTGCAGGAACAAATCGCACGTCCGAGAGATGCTAAGGGGTCCCTCTTGAGCCATCTTAGCGCCTTCTCGGGGGCGTCGCGGGCGTTCGTGGGGCTCTCATCGGGCAGTCCCGTCCTGGGGCTCAGAGGGGGGCGATCCTGAGCCGTCTTGGGCAGTCCTGCACGCTTAGGTCCCTGAGCCGTCCTGGACGTAAGCTGCCCCGGAAAGCGAGTCGCGTCGATTGACCCTCGAGATTCCAACGGATCCTGCTGTCTTGGGCCCAGTGGCACGCCAGGGGCCTCACCCCCGCTCCTGGGGCCCTCTGGGAGCCCTCGTGGGCGCCCTGAGCTGTGGCCGAGCGGCCCGAGGAGCCGCTCGGGACGGGGGCCCTTCCCGCGCGCAGCGGGTGATGACACTGAGCTCCAGCGCCGCCTCCCGCATCTCGCAGAGCAGCACCCACGCCCGCTGCCACTGCCCGCCCACCCCGCACGCGCCGATCCCGGCGTCGTAGCTGAACGCGTCAGGCTGCAGGCTCGCTCCCCGCATCTCCCCGAGCAGCGCCAAGGCCCGCTGCCACTGCTCACCCTTCTCGCACGCGCGAAGCCCGGCACTGTAGCTGACTAGAGGGGACCCGCGGCCTTCTGGCCGCGGAATCTGCCCGCCATGGCGTGGACGTGGAAGTGGAGCGTCTCCGGGGCCTCGCAGGTGAGGGGAGGTTGGAGGGGATGGCGTGGATGGAGGAGGTGGCCGCTGGAGGGGGAGGTGGGCGAGGGATGCAGGCAAGTAGGCCTGAAGGCAGGAACACGATGGTAGAGGCGGTGTCAGTGGAAGCACACCCATGCAGGCATGACATGGTGTGGACAGAAGCTGTCTCTCACGCCGCAGTATGTGTTCATCATAGCTTCTGCGGGGAGGGTAGCCGTGATAACTGTATCTGCTCTTCGCCGGGGTCGAATGATAATTTTATCTGGTAGTGTGGTGACAATGGGGCTGGTGGGCGAGCGCACCGCCCCAAGACGTCCCCCAAAGGCGCAGAGATGGCTCCCAGAGGGTCCAAGAAGCCCCTCAGACGACGCTGGAAGTTCGACGCTCCCCAAGAGAGAAGGATTCAAGGCCTTTTGGGGGCCGTTTAGGGGCCTCTTTTCGTCCTCCTGGGGGTCTCTCGGGGCCCTCTTGGGCCGTCTTAGTGCCACTTGGGCTGTATTGGGGCGATGTGGGGCCGTCTCGGGCACCTCTCGGACCATCTTGAGGCCGTCTTGGGGCCATCTTGGGCCGATCTTGGGCGCTCTTGGGGCTGTCTTGGATGATTCTTGGGCTGTCTTGGGCGCTTCTGGAGCCGTCCCGGGGTTGTCTCGGGCCGTTTTGGGTGGGGTGATTTGGGGCCTGCACAGTGCAGATGGAAAGGCTTGGAGACGGGGCGGGGGGGGCCTACACAGCCGTCTTGGAGACGGGGCGCTGGGGCCGTCTAGGGCTATCATGAACTGCTCTTGGGGCTGTCGTGGGTACGTGTTGGGCCGTCTGTGGGACTTTTTGGGTGCCCTCCTGGGGGCCTCTGAGCGCGTCTTCGGGCGAGCTGAGGGCCTGAGTAGCCGTCTTGGGCGCTGCGAGGACGAAAAAACAAGATATAGCGAACATGTGCGATTCCCGTCGGGAATGGGATGATTTTGGCATCTTGGGGCTCTCCTGGAGGCCCTCCTAAGCCATCTTGGGAGCCTCCTGGCCTTGGGGGCCTCTAAGGCTGTCCTGGGGCTCCCAGGGGTGCTCTGAGGCTGTCTTGGGTGCGCCTTGGGCCGCCTCGGGTGTCTCTGGAGCCGTTCCGCGGCCGTGTGGGGCAGTTTGGGGGCCCTCCTGGGGGCCACTGGGCGCGTCTTGGGGCGAGCTGGGGGGCCTGTATAGAAGATATAATGAAAATGTACGTTTCCCGTGGCCTCTTGGGGCTCTTCTGGAGGCCCTCCTGGGCCATCTTGGGAGCCTCCTGGCCTGCTTTGGGAGCCTCTGGGGCTGCCTTGGGGCTCCCAAGGGTGCTCTGATGCCGTTGTCTTGGCGCCCCCTGGAGCCTCTCGGAGCCGTCCCGTGGGCTATTATGAACTGCTCTTGGGGCCGTGTGGGGCCGTTTGGGGGCCCTCCTGGGGTGCTCTGGGGGCGTCTTGGGGCGAGCTGGAAGACCTGTTTAGCCGTCTTCGACGCGGTGAAGACGAAAAGAGCGAGCACATCAAAAGCGCACGTTTTCCGAAAGGCAATGAAGCAATTGTTGCCTCTCGGGTCCCTCCTGGGGGTCCTCCTGGGCCGCCTTGGGAGCCTCCTGGCCTGCCTTGGAGGCCTCCGGGGGCCGACCTGGGGCTCGGTTGGGTCCCTCTTGGTCTGTCAAGGCGCCCTCGCAGCCGCCCGGGGGGCTCGCAGGGCGGCCCGGAGGGCCCGGCCAGACTTTCGGGACAGAGGACCTTCTGGCACGCAAGGATCGCTGCATTGTAGAAGAGACTGGTGCTGCCTGCTGCTGGGAGCCCGCGCCCACAGCTTTCCTCCTTCAGAGTTGCCCGATCGAGCCGAGATCAAGATGGCGAGTCGCTCTAAGATTCGAGTGTCCTGCGAAAGCTGATTGGGGCCCAAGGAATTTTCCGGATAGCTCCGCGGAGAGCTACGATGGCTTCCGATTAGAAAATGGCAGCACAGGGTGGCCAAGCAGCTCTTTCCAGCGCCGGGCAGGGAGCCTCGTAGCCACCCCTGTGAGGTTGCAGCGGGTCCCGCGAAGCGTCTTCCTACTCGTTCTCAATACGCGTGCTGGAAGCCTTTCAGCAAATCTTTCGAAGCTTGGAAGCTCCTGCGAAGCTCCCTGTCTTCTCGAGCTTGTAAGCTGCCGAGATATCCTTGCAGGCGTCCTTGCAAGCGTCTCCCAAACTAGTTTCCCGCGCTCTGCATTGGACCGCTATCTGGGTTTGGGACGCAAGAAGTCCTTTCCAGCGTCCTTCCAAGCGTCTCCCACAGGCGTTTTAGGCGCTTTGGACTGCTTCGCTATTCGGGTTCTGGACGCCACGAGCGTCGCACCTCCTTCAATGTTTGAAATTCTATGGCAAGCTGCGTCGAATGCGTCTTGCCTACTAGCCCCACTCTGCGCCCGTGCGTCAGGTTCGTGTCGTGACGACCCCGGCGTTGGTTTCTGACTCCGCGTGGATCGTTCAACCTTGAACGATCGGCGACTGTGGATCGCTCGATCGTTCCACATAGGCCGATTCCGGGCCACTGGCGGCGTTCAACCTTGAGCGCCCGCGGCGGGATCGCCGCCGGTCGACACGACGCGAACCTACCGTATTGCCCTCTGAGCCTGTGGATCTGCGATCGTAGGAAGCCGTCCAGCCATCGCGTTCCTCGTGTCTGCTGGAGGCCGCTCTCCCGTCGGCCTGCCGTGGGACATTGCTCGGGGCACGCCGCTGACGCAGGCGAGCTCGTGGCCCTCGTGTCTCCCTCTCGCGCGGCCCTTCCCGAAAGCCTCTCGGGCCTCTCGTGGGACCTTTTTTTTGTTTTTTTTTTTCAGCGCAATTTTGGAGGGGAGGAGGGGGAGCGGACACATCAGCACGATGACACACTCGGCAGCGCAAGCAACCAGTGAGAAATCTCAAACGCCGTGCAAATGCAGCGTCCTCCGATCGATGGTCTACATAATGATCACTGTGCGGCGGCAAGGGCCTCTCGTGGGACCTCTCGGGCCTCTTGGGGCGGTCCCGAACGCCGTGGGGCCAGCCTTGGGGCGAGCGGGGCTCATCGCAGGCTGGACGGGGTGGGCACCCGGGAAGCATTCCGGGCCACCTGAGCCGAAAGGGACAGAAGAGCAGGAGATGCAAACACACACAGGGAGATGACACGCCGCCCGACGCTGGGCCTCCCAACGGGGACGTCGCGCGTCAGCGTGGAGGAGGGGCAGCACTACCCGGGCGTGGAAGGCAGCGGTGACGAACCGCCCGACGCTGGACCTAGCGCGCGGGGACGTAGCACCAGGACGCAGGACGGCAGGCACACGCGCACACACACAGACACACAGACACACACACAGACACAGACACAGACACAGACACAGACACACACGCGCACATACACACAAACACACACACACTCACAAACACACACACACACACACACAAACACACACACACACACACACACAAACACACGCACGCGCGCGCACACAAATACACACACACACACGCGCACACACACACGCGCACACACAAAATAAAAGAATTTGGCGATGCATGCTCGTAAGGGGTCCCCGCGCGGGGGATATCCTTTGGCGCGGGACGGCAGCGTGCCCAGACCCCCGACGTCGAAACAGTTTTTTGTTCATGACGTCGACCCTCAGAGGCCTCGACCCATTCCCCAGGACCAGTTCAACAGTTCCTCATCCAGAATCATTTGTTGAGGGTCCCGGGGTCTGGTGACGGGCCCCCCAGGAGCCGAGAATGGCGAAAAACCATCTGTCGTGATCTGTTCACGACTCGAAGAGGTCTGAGTCGTCGGTCTCGGAGGCTCGTCCTGGCGGCCGCCTCGGTTCCCCGGGACCCTCGCTGGGCGTCCTCGAGGCCGTGCTCGGGGCCGTCCTCGAAGCCGTCCTCGAGGGAGCCTGTCCGCTAAGAAACCTGTGCCAGCTTCCCGGAGGCTTTTCTCAGGCAAGCTGAGGCAGCATGTTGTGTCACCGCTGGACGAACGTGCGTAGTAAACTGAGCCAGCTTTCCAGCAAGCTGGTCAAGAAACGCTGGCCCAGCGTTCAGGGGGGAGCTCTCTGGATCAGATGTACTGTACAGCAATATCCGCCACCGTGCCGACAGGCACGACGAGCCACGACGTGGAGTGCCGTCAAGTCCCCTCGAGCTCTGCGCATCCGGCGGCGCAGGTCTCACACTCCGGGGCTCAGATCCCCGAGTGCGGCTAATCTCTAGGCGGCTCTGGGCGCTTCGTGGGTGCGTCGTGCGGCTTTCTCGAGACCTCGGGAACGCGGCACTGACTCCAAACTTCCAGCACGCCCTAAGATGGCAGCATGCCGCCACGGGGCTCTCTCCTTGGGGCCGCGGAGGCCAGCCCAGGAGGCGAAACTACTGAAGGTCAGCCCAAGAGGCTCAGGTCGTTGTGCGATTTGCTTCTCGCTCGCATTGTCGGTCCGACTTAAGAGCGTCCAAGACGAACCAGGAGCCCCCCGAGATCGCTTCTATACGGCCCCCTGGCTCCCAAGCGCAAGAGACACCTAAGAGGCCCCAAAAGGGCCCCAAGAGAGAGATCTCGAAGGGCCTCTGGGGCGCTCCACCGCAAGATGGCCCCGGCCCGGAGACCGACACCAGGCCCCCAAGAGGCGAAGCCTCCATAAGGTCACCAGGAGGCCCTCAAGACTGCCAAGAGGCCCCCAAAGAAGCCCCCCAAAGAAGCCCCCCAAAGAAGGCCTCTAACCCACGACCCAGACACGGTGGCGGAGTGGGCCGAAGGCCGCTGCATCCGCAGCCTCCAGAGCCTGCGGAGGGGTGCTTGGCAGGGGAAAAATTACAGCTCTCCCTGGCCATTCCAAAACCGAGTAGGGGATCGACTGCAGAATTGATTTACCAAACACTTGATGTTTTCGTCGAATACACGAAACATCTGCTAATGGTTCCGTAGATCTGCGAACAGTAACCGCATGTGTTGGGTCGATGGGAAAACAAATTCTGGGGCAAATCAATTCTATAATGGATCCCCTACTCGGCAAAATTCCCAATGCTCTCTGGCCCATGTCGCTGGCCCAACGGAATCGACCGCGAACGCCGCGTCCCAAGGGCTCTTCCGCGCAAGATTCGCTCCAAGAGGGCCCCCAAGAGGTCCTCGCTCGCCATCACATCGGCCCAAAGTCGCCCGAGGGGCCCAAAAGATGACCCAAGAAGCCTCCATGTGGCCCCTAAGATGGTCTCAATACTGGCGAAGAGAATCCATAGATGTTCAAGAAGGCCTCGAGAGGCACACATACTTGGTTCTCCTTTGGCATGTTCCAGATACGTTTTTGGGGAGTTCGGGGGGCTCTCAAAGCTTCCAAGACAAGCCAAGAGGCAAGATCACCCCAAGACAACCGAAACAGACCTCAAGAGGGCCAGAGCACTAGAAGAAGAAAAACTGAATAAACACGAACTGGTCCACGCGGATTTCGTGGATCCGCGCTGGACCCGCCTCCCTGCGCGCGGAGCGCGACTGGGGCGGCGCCAGAGGCGCCGCCAAGGGATTCCAGCGCAGATCCAAAAACTCCGCGCGCAGCTCCGCAAGCGTATGTTTATTCCGTCCTCTTCTTCGAAAGACGGCCGAAATGACTTGGCCACAATACGGCCCAGGACGTTGCCCAGACATGCCGAAGACTGCCCTACACGGTTCCAAGAGAACCACAAGACGGCCCAGAGAGGCCCCCAAGACGGCCTCCCACGGCGCAAGGCGGCCCAGAGCGCCATGAGACTGCCCAAAGGAACCACGAGACAGCCAAAGAGGTTCCCAGGAGGCCCCCAAGAATGCCCCCCAAACCCGGCACGAGCCCCAAGGCGGCCCCAAAGGGCTCTGCCCCCGTTTTCCCCCAGTGATTCGCAGTCCACTGGCGTGGCTGGACTTTTGGGACACAGGCGTCTCCAAAAGGCAGGGGGCGGCAGTGACTCACCAGTGGCGCCTTCGACAAATGACGTCGGGGTCCAAGTCCGCCTCGCACATCTCGCTGAGCAGCGCCACAGCCCGCTGCCACTGCTTGCCCTTCTCGCACGCGCTGATCCCAGCGTTGTAGCTGAATGCGTCAGGCTGCAGCTCCACACCCCGCATCTCGCCGAGCAGCGCCACAGCCCGCTGCCACTGCTCACCCTTCTCGCAGGCGCTGATCCCAGCGGTGTAGCTGACTAGGGCTGACCCGCGGACTACGTCCACGACATCTGCTGGAGGTGGCGAGCGGTGTCTGGGCAAGCGCGCTTGCTTCTGCCCAATGCCTTTTACAGCCGCTTGTTGTTGCTGAATGCTGCGTGTTGCCACTCGCGGCTTTTCGTTGTGTCTTTCTTCGGTGTTTGCCGCTTAGTTTTGTCGCTTCTTGCTGCTTCATCCCGACCTCAGCCTGGAGTCTTCGCAAAGGAGGGAAGAAAATAAGAGGCGCATCGGCGCCTTATTTTCCTGGGTGGCCGGCGCGGTTCCAGAACTCTCTGAGGGATCGTCCCTCGGAAGCCTTCTTGGGAGCCCTGGGGCCGGCTTGGGGCGTGGATACTCCGAAGATGCGAGCAAGTCAGACTGGAGCCTTTGCAAAGGAGGGGAGAACATAAGAGGCGCATCGGCGCCTTATTGTCCTGGGTGGCAGGTGCGGTTCCAGAGCTCTCCGAGGGATCTTCCCTCGGAAGCCTCTCGGAGGCGGCTTCGGGGGTGTCTTCTGGCCTCTCGAGGGTCTCTGGGGGCCAGATTTGGGTCTCTTCGGGGCCCTTCTGGGGCGTCAGGGGGGGCTCCTGGGGGCCAGCTGGCGGTGTCTGGGATCATCATGGAGCGGAGGGCGCGAAATGTCAATTCGAGTTCCACCTCGTTTGGTCCTCTTGGGACCGTCTTGGGCCGTCTTGGGGGGCTCTTGGGCCGTCTTGGGCCCTTTTGGGCCGTCTGGGAGCTTTCTTGGGGGCCATGGGACCGGCTAGGAGCGTGGAGACTCCGAAAAAACAGAAGAAGATCAACAACAAAAAACGCTGAAACCAAACATTGGGGGGAAATCCAACATTCTAGCTTCTCGGAGCCCTTCTTGGGGGCCTCTTGGAGCACTCTTGGGCCGTCTTCCTGCACTGTGGGGTCTTTGGGGGCGTCGGGGGGGCTCTTGGAGGGCAACTGGTGGTTTCTGGGGGCATCCTGGAGCGGAGAATGCGAAATGCCAGTTGGAGTTTCACCTCGTGAGGCACTCCTGGGGCCGTCTTGGGCCGTCGTGGGGCCCTCTTGGGCTGTCTGGGAGCTCTCTTGGGGGCCTCTTGGGCCATCGTGGCGCGATCTTGGGGGCCCTGGGGCCGGCTGCCGGCTTGGAGCGTGAAGGCTCCGAAAAGGCGAAAACGCTGAAACCCTTCAAAAACACACGGGGAATTCATGATTTTCGCCTGACGGGGCCCGTCTTGAGGGCCTCTTGGGGCCCTCCTGGGCTGTCTTCTGGCACTGTGGCGCCTTCGGGGACGTCTGGAGGGCCTCTTGGGGGGCAGCTGGCGGTGTCTGGGATCATCCTGGAGCGTAGGGCGCGAAAAATCAATTCGGGCCCCCCTCTGGTGGGGCCCTCTTCGGGCCGTCTTGGGTGGGGAGCTCTTGGGCCATCTTGAGGCCCTCTTGGGCTGTCTGGGAGGTCTCTTCGGCAGTCTTGGAGCGGTCTTGGGGGCCTCTTGGGCGGCCTTCGAGCGTCGGGAGGCCGACAAAGAGAGACTGCAAAAAATCCGCCGACCCCAGGGGCGTGTGCGATATCCCTTGGGCTAAGCACATACAAATGCGGTCGACACCTCCCTACAATTTCTCACCTGGAACTGGCCCTGACACCCGCCAAATCCCCACCTCGCCCGACTCCCCTCGCGTCCTCGGAAATGCTCTTCGGACCCCTCACCCGACAATTTTTCACCCGGAACCGACCCTGACCCCCCACCAAGTCCACACCTCGCCCGACCCCCATTACCCCCTCCCACTTCCTGGTAGCTCTGTTTTCGGACCCCCCATCTGAAAACTTCTCACCCGGAACCGACCCTGACCCACCACCAGGTCCCCGACAATTTCTCGCCCGGAACCTACCAACGCCTTCCTCCTGGCCTCGGCACCCCCAACCCACGGCAGTTCTGTTCTTGGGACCCCCCACCCCACAATTTCTCGCCCCGAACCTACCGACGCCCCCCTCCTGGCCTCGGCACCCCCAATCCACGGCATATCTGGACCTACCAACGCCCCCCTCCTGGCATCGGCACCCACAACCCACGGCAGCTCTGTTCTTGGGATCCCCCACACTCCACTATTTCTCACCCGGAACCTACCATCGCCTTCCTCCTGGCCTCGGCACCCCCAACCCACGGCAGTTCTGTTCTTGGGACCCCCCACCCAACAATTTTTCGTCTGGAACCTACCGACGCCCCCCTCTTGGCCACGGGACCCCCAACCCACGGCAGCTCTGGGACCCCCAACCCTACAATTTCTCGCCCGGAACCTTCCGACGCCCCCCTCCTGGCCTCGGCACCCCCAATCCGCTGCACCTTTGTTCTTGGGACCCCCCCACCCCACAATTTCTAGCCCGGAACCTACCGATGCCCCCCTCCTGGCCTCGGCACCCCCAACCCACGGCAGCTCTGTTCTTGGGACCCCCCACCCCACAATTTCTCGTCCCGAACCTACCGACGCCCCCCTCCTGGCCCCGGCACCCCCAACCCTCTCTGTTCTCGGGACCCCCCAATTTCTCGCCCGGAACCTTCCGACGCCCCCCTCCTGGCCTCGACACCCCCAACCCGCGGCAGCTCTGTTCTTGGGTTCCCCCACCCAACAATATCTCGCCCGGAATCAACCGACGCCCCCCACCTGGCCCCGGCACCCCCAACCCACGGCAGCTCTGTTCTTGCTCTGTTCTTGAGACCCCCCACCCCACAATTTCTCGCCCCGAACCAACCGACGCCCCTCTCCTCGCCTCGGCATCCCCAACCCACGGCAGCTCTGTTCTTGGGACCCCCCCCCCCACACCCCACAATTTTTCGCCCTGAACCAACCGACGCCCCTCTCCTCGCCTCGGCAACCCCAACCCACGGCAGCTCTGCTATTGGGACCCCACACCCTACAATATCTCGCCCGGAACCTACCGACGCACCCCTCCTGGCCCCGGCACCCCCAATCCACGGCATATCTGGACCTACCAACGCCCCCCTCCTGGCATCGGCACCCACAACCCACGGCAGCTCTGTTCTTGGGACCCCCCACCCCACGCCCGGAACCTACCGACGCCCCCTCTTGGCATCGGCACCCCCAACCCGCGGCAGCACTGTTCTTGGGCCTCCCCACACAACAATTTCTCGCCCAGAACCTACCGACATGGCCTCGGCACCCCCAACCCACGGCAGCTCTGCTCTTGGGACCCCCCACCCAACAATTTCTCGCCCAGAACCTACCAACGCTCCCCTCCTGGCACCGGCACCCCCAACCCACGGCAGCTCTGCTCTTGGGACCCCCCACCCCACAATTTCTCGCCCGGGCCGGCCCCCCGAGATCGCAAATAGCAAAACGACAGCATTATTTGTTTTCACGACGTCCGACTTCCAGGGCCGAGATCGACGAACAAAAACCCGCTCCTACCCCTTCGACCAGCCCGACCCCCACGAAGCGCGGCCCGCGCGCCTCGGAAAGCGCGCCGCCCAGGCCAAGCATTTGCCAGCGATGAGCGCCGAGAGCTCGGGCGACATGACCTCGCGGCGCCGCCGAGGCCCGAGCACCCGACGGCTCGAGGAGGATCGAAGTGCACCACCTTTCGCGTTATATCTTGGACCCAGAGGCGCGAAAAAGCCTCCAACGAAAGTGGCCCAGGCCATCTCAACCCTGGCCATTTCGAAACACCGACTGGGGAGCATGTTTCTAACAAAACCTGCAACGTCAGCTCAAGCATTTGAGGATGTCTCGCCGTGTGGGACCCTCAGACAGCACTCATCCTGACCGCAACCATGCCACTCGGCACTCATTCTCACCACAAACATGCGCTACATGCTGCAACTCGGAAACACACGCGCCGTGAATTCTGCACACCGCCCCCCTGAAGGGGGCCGCAGAGACCTCCGAAGAGGTTTTCCAAAAAGACCCCCAAGACGTTCCCAAGAGCTCTTCCCCTCCGACTCTTCCTCTTCCAGCCTCCACCCCCGCCTCCTCCTCCTCTTCTTCGTCCTCATGATCCTCCTCCTCCTCCTCCTCCTCCTCCTCCTCCTCCTCCCCCTCCTCCTCCTCCTCCTCCTCCTCCTCGGATCCCTCCTCTTCCGACACCTCTTCTGGCCCCTCCTCTAGATTTCGGCTGCTAAAGAGAACACCGAGATGGCCCCGCGGGAATTCCAAGGGGGCTCCAAGAGATCCCCCGAGTTCCCAAACTCGAGGCGGCTCCAAGAGGTCTCCAAGAGGGCTCCACGAACTGAGTTGGAGCCTGGTCGAGCTCTTTCGGAACTCTCCAAGGCCTCCTCTGGAGGCCTCGTGGGAGTCCTCACACCCAGGCCTGGCCCCCTCCTCCTCCTTCTGGGGAGTCCGAGTAATGTAACCACATGTGGACGTCGCGGGCTCCAGAAATCCACATGTGGACTGCATGCCGACCGCATCCCAGATTGTTCAACACCCTCTCCAAACGACCCCGACACCAGAAGTAGGCCACGCCATGCTAATCATGGAACCAGATGGCACAGCCGTGAAGGAATCCCCCACGCCGGGCGAGCCACACACGCAAGCATAGAGACACATCCGCTCTATGAAGGGTATACATATACCCGCATCCAAGATGGCCCGTAATGGCTGCAAGAAGGCCTCGGCCATGACCAACGCAACATCTTGGTCCGTCTTTGGAGCCCTTGGGGCCATCGGGAAGCTTTCCTGAGCGCGCTAGGGCCCATCCCAGCATGTCTTCAAATGGCATCTTCCACAATAAGCGTGTCCGTGCTCGTCCCAGCCCCGCCCGATCTCTCGAGTTCTCCCACCTCTTTGGGATCTCTTGGTGCCTTTTCGGAGCCCTGCTTGGGGCATCTTGGGCTCCCACGGGGCCCTCCCGGGCCTCCTGGATCCATCTGGGCGGCCCTTGGTGCCACTGGGAGCTGTTTGTGGTGGGTCTGGGGACG